CCGTGGGCTAGGGTGCTGGTGGGGGTTTGGCAGGGGGGGGGCAGGGTGCTGGCAGGGGGTCTGGCCAGGAAGCAGTAGCAGGGTGCTGGATGGTGTCTGGCCAGGGAGAAGGGGAGAGGGCTGGTGGGAGGGTCTGGCCAGGGGGAAGGGATAGGGTGCTGGAGGGAGTCTGGCCAGGTTGGTCGTGGGGGTTCTGGCCAAGGGAGAGGGGGCAGGGCAACTTGGTTGGTACCTGGAGGTCTCGAGAGACAACGCTCTCTGGGGCAGGATCTGTGGGCAGCACTGGAAGATGTGCATGTGTGGCTCCTTTAAAAAATCCAGCTGCTCCAAATACTGCACCATCATCTTAACTCCCTCCTCCAGACTTCCCGGAGCATGCAGAAGAACGGGAAGACAAGAAAGTGCACATGCTCCTCCCCTGCCCACAACAGTGTGCTCCTCGTGGAATGAGGTGTACTGGTAGTTTGAATTAGAGATCCTAATTCGAACTACCTACTCCGTGCCGTGTGTAGCCGCGGGCACGGAGTTCGAACTAAGGGGGATTTAAAAATGGTGGCGCCCGGGAAGATGCAAATGAAGCCCGGGATATTTAAATCCCGGGCTTCATTTGCAACTCTGGTTGCCCTCATTTGCCTATCTAGCCCAAACTACCTAGCTAGTGTAGACATACCCTAGGTTTGCAAGCCTGCCCGCGAAGATGCTCTTTCCTCTCTTGGTTAGGTGATTCCCATCTCTTCCTAACAATCCTTGTGCCTGGAACAGAGTCCCATGGTTGATGAAACCAAAGCCCTCTCTCAAATACCACCTGTGCAACCATACATTTACTTCCTCAATTTGCTGATCCCTACCTGGATCTTTTCCTTCAACAGGGAGGGTGGACGAAAACATCACTTGCGCTTCTAATTCCTTGATCCTTCTTCCCAGTGCTACATAATCTGCTGACTTGCTCAAGGTCATTCTTGGCCATATCATTAGTTCCTACATGGAGAAGCAGGAAGGGGTAGCAATCTGAAGGTTTGATCAGTTTTGGAAGACTCTTGGTCACATTGTGAATGTGAGCTCCTGGTAAGCAGCACACTTATCAAGATTCCAGGTCTGGATGGCAGATGGATGACTCGGTCCCTCTTAGGAGGGAGTCCCCGACCACCACCACCCATCTTCTTCTTTTGGAGGTGGTGGTCATGGAACTCCCAACCCCAGGACAATGCATCCCATGCCTTCCGGTAGATGGTGTTCCCTTCTGATTTCTTCCCTGAGAGGTTTCTGCCAAAGCATTCTCCACTACAGTGCCTGTGGAGAGAGCCTGAAAGCAGTTAGGGTATGTCTACACTACAGCGCTATTTCAAATTAACTTATTTCTAATTAGTTAATTCGAATTAAGCTAATTCAAAATAACGCATCTATACACAAAAACTATTTTGAAATAGCATTTTGCTATTGACCTCTAGCTCAGGAGTTGGGTACCTTATCCACTGTACCACTGGAGGAGCCCTCAACTTCCCTACATTCTGATCCCCCCCTTATCCTTCCTTTGTTCCAAGCATGCCTGGTCTATCCACAGTGTAGAAGCTGAAGACCTTTTAGAAAGCATTTCATTGTGGGGTGTGCAAAAACAGATGTGCCATGTATTTTGTGATGAAAAGTTGTGATTGCTGCCAGATGTACCCTAATAGAACTGATAGATGGAGACAATTCTTTAAGATTGAGGAAATAGTCCAGTATGCCCCTTCTGTTCTGCAATGTGATTTGTCCTTTTCATATTTGTTCATTTTTTTAAATTGTATCCTTTGGTATATATGGTTGTGACTATTTTCTTCCACTATTTGATCTGAGGAAGTGGGTCTGGCCCACGAAAGCTCATCATCTAATAAACCATCTTGTTAGTCTTTAAAGTGCTACATTGTCCTGCATTTTGCTATGAATGATAGAGGTACTGTTAACAGAATCCTGTTGTCTGGATATACACTAATGATTCCACTTTTAAGTGTATAATGGAAGGAAGTATATAATGGTGGAAGATTTACGACTGTGGATGAGCACACGTTGTACTTGCTTGGAATGCTCTAGCTCTGGTTGTGAAAGCCATGGAGGAGCCAGGCTGTTAGAGGTAGCTTGTGTAAGTTTGGATAAGCTTTTCACGTCTGGTCTAGAGTGATGAGGTTGTGCTGGAGTGGGAGTAAGATTGGTACGCGGACTGACATTCTGAGTAGGAAGAGGTACCACAGTTGTCTCAGCCGTGCAGGGTGTATTAGAATGAGTCTGACCCTGTCTGTCCTGATCGTTTGAATTACTCTGATGAGTAATGGTATCGGGGGAGGAAGTCATAGCAGAACCTGTCTTTCCATGGCATGTGGAAGGCATCCCCTAATGATGCCCATCTAAGGCCTGCTTTGGTGCAAAGGAATTTGCATTTGGAGTTGTAAGATGTTGCAAATAGGTCAATAGTGGGTTGTCCCCATCTGAGGAAGAGTGGGCACAACACTTAGGGTTGAGCACCCATTCGTGGTGTTGGGGAAAGTGCATGCTGAGAGTATCTGCCATAAAACTGCCTCATGGTATAGTGTGTATGGCTGAAAGGTGGATTCTGTGGCTGATGCTGAAATTCTAGAGCCTTATCATTTTGCTGCATAGGGATCATGATCTCGCTCCCTATCATGATCATGAGGGTTAGCCAGCATCCTGGGGACAAAGGGGTTAACTATGTCCCTTACCTAAGCCAGGTGGCAGGCAGCCAATAGAAATGTAGGTAGGAATTTCAAACTCTCCCGCTATTGAAAGGGACAGAATGTCTCTCTCTAAGAAAATAGTCTTCAGTCTGTAAGTAGGATAAAGTTTAGATAAATCCATTAGATTTTATTGTTTTGTAGTTTGGGAAATGGGATCTGGTCTGTACATTTTGTTGGTTCTCAGTTCGGCAAAATGGTGGGAGCCCCAGAGGCTAAAGGCCAAATGCCCAGAGAAAAATACCGAATGATGGCAAGACAACA